CCAGCAAAAGGAAGGCATTTCAGAACTGCAGTAATTTTATTCTATAGCTCCAAAGAAGCAAAGCCATCCCTGGATGGGGAAATGAAAGTGCTATTGCAGTGTCTTGAGCAATGAATGGTATCTAGTGCTTATGCAGAGAAAAGTGGTATGAACCAGAGAGAGGAAGTACTGACTAGACGGAGTGGTGGAGTGGTTACACTGTCCATGCAGGCAGGAATGCAGTAACCAGAGAAACCATAAAGGTAAAAAAAACAGCCACCACCCACCGAGGGGCCCATGCCTGGATAAAAGCTGTGACACTGGGACTTTTATCTCTGCTGTGGCTGCACTAGTGCAAACAAGTGTAGTGGCTCTTATCTGCTGTATCTCTGCTGCATTCACATCTGAAAAATCCACAGGATAACCCCTCAGGTTTCCCTTTTATCCTTTTAACAGAGGTTAATCACACACACTGTATATAACAAAGAAAAAGAACACAGCATGCAAAGTCAAAAAATATACATAAGGGAAAATGCCAAGATGAAAGTTGCAGAAGCAGACTGATTTTGTCCCCTCGTGCCTTACTTGTGGTGGTAAGGACTTTTATTTTACAGCCATGTTCTTGTGGGGCCTCAGCCTCCCTTGGTGACCTGAGCAGGCTGAGCGCAGGTAGCAAAGAGGAGCTCGGCTCTGCTTCCTCCCACTCGGCCAGGGAGCCCAGGCCGTGCCCAGAGCAGCTCCTCAGCTCTTGTTCCTCGGGTAAAGCTGCCTTCTTTTCTTCTGAGTATTTTTCACTGCCTGAGGGAAAGCGCAGCGCTGCCATGTGAGGTGAGCAGCTGCTGTACTGTGCTGCAGGGCCAGAGCAGTGATGTGTAGATGGCTTTTGGCCACATATGTGCCAGCCATGTACTTTTGTAGCATTTAGAATGCTTACGACTGATTTCACAGATAATGCAATTTTATTTGGCACTCGGTTCTGGTTTTGGGAATTTATGGATTGTGTACTTGGACTGACTGCAGCTGGGTTTCCCCTAGCATGGGAACGTTTTAAAATCATGCTTTTCAGTTGCAATCAAAGGAATTATTAATTTTTTTTTTTCCAGAAGTACTCACTAGACCAAGTTTATTTAGAGAATTAAACTCAGAGTTATTTGGAATCTGATGCCAAGTAGCAAGTGGCATTAAGTAGCCTAGAGGAGAGCATGGACAAACTGAAAAGAAAATAATAAAAAAAATAAAACTGAGAAAAAATTTCTAGTTCAGTTTGTCCAGTGTGAAAAATGTATATTTTATGATTGGCTTTTGGCAAATGTTACAATGAATATTATATGTGTGATGTTAGAAAGTTAAGCTGCATTAATTCTCTTAAATAGTGTGTTAAATATAGTTTTAGGTTCCAACATAATGTTAAAATAGAAACTCTGCTATGTGAAAGTTTTTTTTTTAAGGAATGAGGTACTCGCTTCGAGGAACACCTAAATTTTCCAGAGAAGAGGAATTTATGGTTTTCTTATCAGAAGAAGCTAATTTCTTCAGGCCTTGCTCAGACGTGAAGACGCCTTGGGGATTAAAGGAAACAGTTGACATACAACAGACAGAGTTCTTGTTTGAAATAGATTGTATGCATAACATGAAGGATATATGAATATGCAACAGGCTGTTGTTTTTGAGGTTATTCCTTTGTTCACAAGACATGCTTTTCGTGACTGAGTGTCCAAGAGCATCCGGAAGTCTGTAATTCTTTGCTTTTTATTGTCTTGTAATTGTCCTAACTCTAAATTTTATTACTCTAATTGTATTACTATTTTATAACCATTTTATTATTATTAAACTTTTGAAAATTTAAAAAACAAGTGATTGGCATTTTTCACATCCAGGTATGCTAGTGTTTTCACCACCCCTCTGCAACCAAGGTAGTGTTACCTTCCAACAGGAGGGTGATCAGTGCACTACTTTCTTTGACTGCTGAGACTAAATTCCAAAGAAGGAACAAAAACTCTGCAAGTGTAATGCTTTAGCATTGTAAGACACATTCCTTGCCACAGTGAACTAATAATGCAATTTAAATTACAGTAAAGGATGTAAGAAAGACAAGGCACAAAAGGAAGAGGAGATAAAGATGTCCTAGTAACAACATGTTTTTCGAAACTATGAGCATAATCATGTGATTTAAATTTATACCAGATTTGGGGAATTTTTTCTATGTTATTGTTCTCCTCTTTCTGCAATTATGTGGTTGTATTTGACTGCGTGGTGGTAAGCAAGTAACACTAATTATTATTCTTCTTGGAGGGTAGTGGACTGAAACCATGAATTCTGTTTATCAGCTCCAGGTAATAAAAATGGTATGAAAATATCTATTTCAGGCAGCTTTAGCATCTTTTTTCTCTCTCTTTTTTTATACAAAAGAAGCAAGTCTGACAAGCAACATGACAGCAAAATCCTTCTGCTGAGTCTGCTGCTCAGACTTACATAATTGGGGTCTATTTCCATATTCCTTCCCTCCTTTCCTCTGCTCAAGACACAGACAGAAGGAATTTCTGCTCCAAGGCTGCTCACAGTAGCTGAGAGGGGAAGCCTCAGTGCTGCAACTTAAATATTTAAAATATCATAACATCCCCACAGTGGGATAATTAAGTACTGCACTAAGTCAGCAAAGCAGGGTCTGCTGCTCGGTGACACTGGAGCCCATATGCTGCACAGAAGCAGGGCGGAACTTTTCTGTTTCAGGGAACACTGAGCAACTAAGAATTTGGTCAAACAGTATGTCATTTTCACATTTCCAGAACAGCAGTTCTAAAAACATGCAGGAAAGAAAATTTAATTATTAAAGAAAATCTGATTATTGCAGTGTTCCAATGCAATTTTCTGACTCTGGTACATTCTGTGATTTCCCAGGCTGTTATTTTTTGCAGTGTTATGGTGAAACTGTCTGCTAAAATCCCAAGGCCCTATCACACAAAACTAATTTACTAGAAATGTCATCTGGCAAATGAGCATTTTTGTCCATTGCAGAAATTTCAGTGGTGTATTTGGAAAGAAGTGCCAAGAAAAGAAAGCTTCATGTTCACAGATGGCATGTTCCTCATTGACTGTTTCAACCACATGAGATGTGTGCACAGCTCCAGCCCTGTGGGCTGTGTGCTTTCAGAGTTGCAAGGGTTGGTGTTGGGTTTTTTTGGGTTTTGTTTTGTTTTGTTAAAAATAAAAATAGGTACAAGTATAAAAAATACTGAAAGGAAAACACAAACTAAAAAACAAGACCAAAGAGAAAACAAGAAAATGAGAAACACAGCAAGTTGAATTAAATCAGATGTGTGTGCGCACAGGGGAGATGAGCTGAGAGATGCAAATTCAGATCATGCCAGGCAGAACTGGGGAACTGAACCTCCTCCAACTTCTTGGAGGAGTGCCTTTATTACTGGGTTTCAGGATAACTGAAAATGAGTAAACAGCACACCATTTCCTTTCCTTCCTAGCTCAGAAAGCTTACAAGCACCATTTCAGATTGAACAACGCTTTATCTGATACAAGTGGGGAGGGTTTACTTTTTCCCCACACAAACAGCAAAGGAAGAAGCAAATAATATTTACTTTGGCTGTCTTCTGAATTGTTTCCCTCCCTCTTATTTGGCTGCTCAACTGAAAAAACAATCCTATACCCATTCTCCATTGATCTGCTTCCAGCAGGGTTCCACTCTACATCCCTCTGGTTTGGCAGCCACAGAAACAAATTCAATTAGGAAGTCTTGTAAGCCACTTACTACATTGGAAGGCTTCTCACTCTGCTTCCACTGATGAGGAAGCCTTCTCTTGGACTAAGTGGTGAGACACAGACTGTGTTTGCAGGGTGGTTTGCAAGAGGGGTAGAAAATCGGCCAAGAGGCTGCACTCAGAGGGTCCTGACCAATGTTTTTAATTCAGGGTGGCAGCCTGTTGCAAGTAGGGTCTCCCTGAGATTGCCACTGGGCTCCACGCGGTCCATCTTCACAACGACTTGGGTGATGGATTTGAAAGCGCCCGCACCCAGGTTGCTGATTCCACTAAACGGAGAGGCTAGGACAACCTGCTCTGTGAGGAAAGACTGACGGAGTTATATCTTATCTCCCTGGAGGAGAGAAGGCTTGGAGGCAGGAGGCTAATCTCAATATACCAGAGTGCTGCAGAGTGCAGGCTCTCCTCACAAAGGGCCACATGGAGAAAACAAGGCACAAGATAAATTTTCTTTAACATGAGAACAACCAATGACTGAAACGCAGGGATGTGGGGGCAGAGTCCCTGTCACAGGAGGTTTCCAAGCTGCCAGGGTGCTCTAGAATCCCATCTAGGCTGCCTCCCACAAAAGTTGGACCAATGATCTGTACAGCTCCCTTCCAGCCTGGGCTGTTCCACGCTTCTGTGATTCTGTGCAGACAGGCAGGGGCTTCTGTAGCCATGTGCACCCACATAGCTGTGAAGAAGGAAGCAGACCAGCCCTGCCATTTGCCAGCAGACTTGCAGGCACGACAGTGCCGGCTGCCCAGGCAGGTCTGCAGCTCACCCAGCCCGCAGCGAGCACGCCAAGGGCGCTGCTGGCTCCCACCGCCGGACATCGCGCCCCATCGGCCACCTGAGCCAGCACCAGCTTCTCGCTCGGGGCCGAGGGCCAGCTGTGGATGGTAGGAGCGGTCTCACGGCTCTCCGAGGCCCCTGAGACCTCGCTGACTCCCGCTGCCGTGGCCCTCGCAGCCGGGACACGCCGGCCGCGCCGCTCGGGGCGGACCGCAGCGCCTGGATCCGCGTCCCGCGCTGCCCCATCAGCCGGGGGCTCTAGGAAGGAGACAAAGGCGGCGGGGACGGCCGGAGGCGGTGATCGGCCGGGAAGAGGCGCGGGCCGGGGGCGCGGGGCGGGCACTGAGGGACCCTCAGCTCGCCCCCGCCGCCTCGCCCGGCCAAGCCCTCAGGCACGGCAGCGAGGGGCGGGGCCGAGGCGGCCCCACAGCGCGGTGACGGGCGCGTTCCTGTCCAATCGAACAGCGCTGCTTTCTGATAGACAAGCGTACTGACCAATCGCCGCGGCGCGCCAGTTCCCTCCTCGGCGTGGAGCCAATCGCGGCGCTGCGGCGGGCGGGGAGGCGGGGCCGCGTGCGGGGGCCGGCACACAGAGCATCGCTCGGGCTCGGTGCTGCCGCCGGCTCCGTCCCCGCTCCCGCGTCGCCTCCCGCGCCGGCCGCCCTTCCCTCCCGCGGACATGTCATCGCCGTCGTCCGGAGAGCGGTACGAGGAGGAGGAGGAGGAGGAAGACGGCGCCTACGAGAGCCAGGCCAAGCGGCTGAAGCCCAGCGCCGCTGCCGAGGAGGGCGAGATCGAGTACAGCGGCGCGGAGGAGAGCGACGGCCGGCGGGACAAGCCCCCCGCATCGCGCGGCGGCGGCTTCTCGGGCGGGGTGAGGGACGAGGGGCCGGCGGGCGGGGGGCGGCTCCCCTCAGGCTGCCGGCAGGGGGAGGGAACCCGCCCCGCCCCGCCCCTACCGCGACCGCCGCCGCTCCCGGGGCAGGGGCCGCGCTCGGGGAGCGGCGGGGGTCCCGCGGCCGCCAGGCCTTCCCGGCGCCGGGGCCCTCTGCCGCTTCCCAGGCATGGAGGCGCTTCCGGCGGAGTGGGAATGGCGGGGCTCGGGGCCCGCTCCCGGCTCCGCTCCGCGCTGCCCGCCGCCGGCCTGCGCTCGTTCCTCGGCGCCCCGGGCACGGGCTGGCCGGCACCTGAGGGCGGGTGGGGTGCGGGATGTGGCTCTGGGCTCCGCGGGCAGCTGGGTGCCTGCCGGGCTATCGCCATCGCAAGTTTTGTGCCGGCCCTGTTGCTGAGCGTCACTATAGAAACACCGAGCGGGCGGCGGCGGGGGATGGAACCGCGGCCGAGGGTTTCTTTCATCCTCCCTTCCACCTTTGTGTCTGGCACCACGCGGAGATAAGGGTGGTCTTAAACCATTGCCTTCCTTTAAAATTAATTTCTAATTCTTCGTTCTCCCTACCTCACAGATACGACTATGAGCACCATGGTTCACTGTGTTTTTTTCGTTTTTTTTTTTTTTTTTTTTTTCTGCTAAGTATCTTTTTCTCGTGAATTTGCATCTAAGTATCAAGGTAGTCCTTGACCCACAAGAGACTTTTCTGTCTGCTGTTTGATTCCTTATCTAACTAATAGTCCGTCTGATTGCGACCGTTTTTTTTTCTTGATGGCTCGCTCTGTTTCTTACTTGAATAAGCCAAGTCAAGAAAACATTGATTTAATGTCAAAGCTTGAAATTTGGAATACCCGTTTTGTGATTTGTTGATATGAACTTGCTTATCACAGGGATGAGTTAATGAGGGAGCATTTGCTGTTACCATTTCTCCATCAGTTAAATCTATTGCAAGAGAAGGTGCCTGGTAAATTTGTCGTGGTTTAACCCTCTCCTGCAACCAAGCACTGCACAGATGACTCCTGCCCGGGCTGATGGGGGAGGGAATCAAAAGGGTACAAGTGAGGAAAATCCTGCTCTCCTTTCTTCTTCCCCCACTTTATATGCTGAGCAGGATTTCATAGGGTCTGGGATATCCTTTGGGTCACCTGGGGTGACTGTCTTGGCTGTGATGACATGTGGACCTGCAGGAGAACCAGAGAAAGCCTTGATTCTTGCTCAGCACAAAGGAAAACCTCTGTATTATCAACACTGTTTCGAGCACGTATCCAAAATACAGCCCATACTACTGTGGAGAAAATTAATCTTACCCCAGCCCAAAACAGCACATTATTACAAAAGTTTCCTGAAAAACTGTAACAAAATAAATTTCCGGAGAGAACTGTTTTTACGCTCAAGTTTCTTGTGACAGAGTATCATCTCTCTTGCAGTCAAGACTTAGTAATGTGCTCTGTCTTAAAGCCCAGTGCTGAAAGAATCCTTATACTTGCTTAAGTTATCCGGAAAGTTTGTTGTGTAGGAGAGCTAAATGCCATGCAGTGAGTGTTTCAAGTAGAAAGGAGATTCTGCTTTTGCCTTTCCTCTTTTCTGCACTTTTATGAAATCAACTAGTTACTATATTTCTGTTTTTCCTTCTTTCTGGGTTCTGGCTCAGAGTGTCTTCATAATGTCTCAATATCTCAGTTTATCCAAGTTTACTCTTCCTGGTAATGGGAGCATGGTGTATGTAACTTCACCTTTTGGATCTCAAGTATGGCATGTGCTGAGGCTTGTGAGTAAAGAAACTGAAACAAATGTGCAGCAAGTCCAGAACATGAGGGGTTTTTAGCACCTGCTTGTGTCATTGACAATTTATTAGCAAAGCTGTATTCACAGATTCAGTGTTGGAAAGGCAGGAGCTGTCTTGATGTTGGAAATTAAACTGATTTCTTAAGCATAAGCCGTTACATCAAAGGAGATATGAAAAGTGAATGAACAAGTGCTTTTGTTAGTAATTTTATGTGAAGCTTTTAATAGCAAAATGCCAACTTCTGTTAAGTCGAGTTAGTTAATGTGAATTTTCATGGTTTTTTTCTCTCAAACAGATACAAAAATGTGCAGGAAACTTATGTATTCTGTGACGTATCTTATTCATTCCTCTGCAGGGAAATGTTCTCAGCTTATAAAAGTTGTATGTGGATGAGACATACAAGATGAAGGTAGGCTGAGAGGAGGGAAGAAGTGAAAGTGTCCTGGATTCCTCAGAAGAGAGCAGAAACATAAGTAGGAGGAACTACAGTGAATGGGGAATTAGGAGGAGAAATGGGAAATGATCATGACATGATGATAGGAAATGGATGATCAGGGTAAAGAGTGAAATGAGTCTGGCAGCCTTATGATTTGTTGGGTGTTTGGGTTTTTTAAAATGATTTTTTATTTTATTTTATTTTTCCTTCACATATGCACCAAAATATCAGTGAACTGTACACTCATATGGGATATATGCCCTTGTATAAAAGCTCTTTTGTGCTAGGACTCCTCTGGCAGGTTAGTGGGATCAGGGATCATCCTCCTGGGCTGTATTTATTATTGTGGTAGTTTCCTGTGCTGGGATTGTTGCATTTGGTTGAAGAAGCCCTTTGTGCCTCTATTTTTTTGTTTTGTTTTGTGTCTTTTGTTGTGGGGCTTGTTTTGACTTGATTGTTTGAAAAGGGTGCCTAGAAATCTCTATGTGAGAGCCAGAAGGAATCCAACATTTATTTTGCTCTTTGTTTTCCTCTGTTTCCCACTTGTGGGGACACTTCTCATAAACCAGAGGTGTACCCTCTCCTTTATGGATCATGTCCAGGCTGAGGAGCCAGGAGAGCCAGGAACAGACCAGGATGTTGACCAGGGAAGGAGCAAGATGTGTTCCTGCAGAAGTATTCAGTGGGAGAGAGTGATTTGGAAGAATGACCTTTACAAAAGCAGTGTTAAGTGGTCGTGAAGCCCTGTCAGAGGAATCAGAATTCCATTGTAGCAGAGGGTCAGGACACTGGGATAATGTCGGCTGAGAGCTGTGTTTAAGGAAATTTTGAGGGCCTTTTCAGCTCCATCACCTTTCTCTCCCTTAAATGCGGGTTTTATGGATTAATGTCATACTTACAGCACCTGTAGCATTCTCGTCCCTCACTGTCTCTGACATACCTGCTCCTAAGCATTCTTGTGAAGTCAGGAAGATCTGTTACCCTATTCTTACAGTTGGGGAAGTGAGATGTGGTGTCTGAATGCACAAACAGAGCTATCAGCTGCTGCAAGGTAAAACAGGGATGTGATCTTGCAGCTTCTCAGCCACTCTGTTGAAACCTCCTGGGTGCTAAATGGAAAGCAGCTCTCCTTGCAACTCAGTTTCTTCATGTCTAACACAGGCAGTGTGGAAACAGCAGCTAAATGCAATGAGTTCAGATCTTCACCTGTTTTGCAGTGACTTGTCCATTTCTTCAATGAGCTCCATCCTAGAAGCTGGTTTTGAGTAAATGTAAATCATCTTCCCTCCTTTGTCCTTCAAAAAGGAAAACCTAAAACATTACCTTCAGGCTGGTTCTTCTTCCAGTATCTCAGGCCCAATCGCCTGATGATGTTGTGTTGTGTAGGGTTTTGTTTTGGGATGGTGTTTGCTTGGTTTCATTTATTTATTTACATATTTTTAAGCATATTCAGATTGTCATGAGCAGAGAGGAAAACACAATATACTGTTTCAGTTGAAAGAGACTTGGGACAATGATATGTTCCAAATACCTGACCATTTCAGGTCAGAAGGGGTCATAGTGGGGGGGTATTCTTTCTGTGGCAGTTGAAATCATCGAAAGGACACAGTGGTAGAGATGCATTAAACAAAGAGAAATGATACTTGAAGTCCTCATCTAATACAAAACTAAATTGTCAGGTAACCTTCCAGGGTATGGGGTGTGATTAATCTTAACCCCGTTCTTCTTCATAGCCCTGCCCCCCAGGCCCTAAAACCAACCAACAACTAAAAAAGCACAAATCCAGGGTATACAAAACTGATACATTCTTCCACTGCTGTGGAACCATAATTTAGTCTTGTCTGCTTGATTCTTCTGAGACACTTCCCCCACACACCACCAGTTCTGTTGTATTGTAAAACAAATTACAGACCAGTTAAGAGGGATGCAGAGAGAGGAGAAAGTTGAGAGTGAATAAGGTAATCTGAAAGGTGAGAAACTAAATAAGAGTATATTTAGGTACTTGGCAGAGGGAATATGAAGGAGAAATGCCATCCTTTTGCAGTGAGGGGAGAAAAGAGAGATGGAGGAGGTAAATAGTGAAATAGAGAAGCAGATGCTCAAAAAAAGGTAATATGGGCTAATATGAGTATACTGACTGGAAAAAGGATAAAGGACACATTTTTGTGCAAACACTTGGTGAGAAAATTCTAATCTGGAGTTGATGAGCAAGATGGGCATCGGCCTACAGCACATGATGACTTTCTTCCTTTTTGGAATGGCAAACTGTAGTTAGTTGGCAAGAAACCATTGATATATTTCAAATGTTGTCGAGAGGTATGTAGGTCACCAAAAAATGGATGTTAAAATGCCACAGCTGT